CAAAAACAAACAAAAGTAAAAATAAAAAATATATTAAAATAAATCAACGGATTACGTCATTTAACCCTGGACTACCATATAAGGAGCGCTTCATGACGTCACAACGACCTGCGTCCAATCCGAGGTGAGTGTTCGCTAACCGGTCAGTCTCGAGCCAATCCGCTCCTCGCCGGTTTCTGGCGCAGGTAAGTTCCCTAACGGTGACGGTTGGTGTTCTGCTGGGCTGGTACCGAACCGGGACACAGGTTCCGGACGGGTAACGGCGGCAGCGACGGTCCGACGGTACTTTTACCGACTGTCTCCGCGGGGCGGCCGCAGCTAACCGCTGCTAACAGAAGTTAGCTTAACGGTCAGACGGTTGACCTGATTTCTCTCTGAAGATCACCTGAAACTTACCTGAGCTTCACCTGTAGGTCACGTGCTTGTTTAAACCAGTGGTTGCCAAACTTTTTATCTTCTGATCCACAAAATATACAAAAACTTGTGACTCCAAATATTACTGGTCTGAGTACACAAACTGTTAATAACCCTAAAAACACAGGATTTTTACAATCTAAACAGCTTATATACAAATATAAATACTTATTTATACTTATTTTGTGTTTTTGTAATAATTACAGGGAAAATATTACAGCAGCAATTATTTTATTACCCTTTAAACTGATTTCTGGAGATTATCCAAGGTGCTTCATGACCCATAATTGGGTCCCAAGACCAACTTTGGGAACCAAAGTGCAGTGGTTCCCAAACTTTCCAGCTTCTGACCCACAAAATAACAGCAGAGACCTGAGCCCCCAACTGTTTCTGGATGACAAACATTTGTATCAGGTCAACTAAACATGGGCATAGTAACAATATTTTTATACTACATTTATCATTTTAAATACACTAACCTCACTCCTTTGTAACAATAAGACAAAAATGTCATTAATTCAGAAAATCTTTTCAGGCCCCACCTTGATGTTTCAGACCCCACCTTGATGTTTCAGACCCACCTTGATGTTTCAGGACCCACCTTGATGTTTCAGAGCCCACCTTGATGTTTCAGACCCCACCTTGATGTTTCAGACCCACCTTGATGTTTCAGGACCCACCTTGATGTTTCAGACCCACCTTGATGTTTCAGGACCCCACCTTGATGTTTCAGACCCACCTTGAAGTTTCAGACCCACCTTGATGTTTCAGGACCCACCTTGAAGTTTCAGACCCACCCTGATGTTTCAGGACCCACCTTGATGTTTCAGACCCACCTTGGTGTTTCAGGACCCCACCTTGATGTTTCAGGACCCACCTTGATGTTTCAGACCCCACCTTGATGTTTCAGACCCCACCTTGATGTTTCAGACCCCACCTTGATGTTTCAG